AGATTCTTTGAGTGTACCAAATAAAGGGTCAGCTGAAGAAAGGGATTCTGCAATAATGTTCCCAAGGGCCGTGTTTGCAAAATCGTTGGACTCTTATTTTTCATGCCAAGTGCTCAAATTGTCCCATTGAAAGTGCTTAAATGGTATCACTAGTCACCATCTTTTTGTAGAAAGGGTTTTTGTGAAGATAAGGCTTTGATCTTAGGATTGAGTGGAGCCTGGCCATCGAGTTCACTGGCTGCTAGCATAGACAACTCTGGCCTGTGAGTTAGAGTGGTTGCTGGCAGTGGAATCACTTTGGCTTAGGGTAACTTATGGTCCATCATTCAGTAACTGCTGTTTAATGTCAGTGTAATTTCACTGTACCTTCTCCATGGCAGCACGTATGAGTCTTGCACACAAACAGAAGGCAAGGATGGCTAGATTTGCAAGAGCAGTGTAATTCAGTAACTTGAGGCCACAAATATTTTCAAAGTAGTGGGAAATGCTGAGGGGACTGTGTTTGTTCAGCCTTGGGAAAAGAAGCCTCAGGGTAGACCTCATCATCATGAGCCAGTATTTAAAGTGTGGCTGCAACATACATGGAGACTCCCTTTTTACAAGGACACACTTGAAAAGATGAGGGGTAATGGATAAAAGTTAATCATTATGAGATTGTGGTTAAGACACAACAGGAAAATTTTTCACAATGGAAATAATCAACCATTGGAATAAATTCCCAAGGAAGTGGTGCATTCCACAACATTGGACATGAAGGATTCAGCTGGACAGGGTGTTGGGCTGTCTTGCCTAGACTGTGTTTTTGACAAGAAAGGTTGGTTTAGATGATCCTCAAGGTTCCTTCCAGCCTTTTTTTCTTTGATTCTGTGAACTGCATTGCTGCTTGTCATTCTGGGCTTCTTTTGATGTTTGTGGATTTGGGGTTGTTTTTTTTGCCTGCCATTGAATAGATCTTGTAATGGAATTAGTAAGAATCATGTATTTTTTTCGGCACAAACTTGTTTCTTAAAGACATGGTGCACTAACTCAATAAGGTGTGCATCTGGTCCAGTAATATTTTTCTGTTGTTTGTGGTCTTCAGTATGAGCTCCTTGCTTTTGACTGCAAAAATGCCATCAGGAAGAGAAATGGAAGGGAATTTCTACTGAGCATTCAGCTTGAACATGTAATAAAGACTTCATTTTCAACAGCAGAAAAAAGTAATCTACATGATAGGCAGAATCAGTCTCTTGTGTGATTAATTTTATAAAGCTCCTTTTAGATGAACTGCTAATAATACATTCAAATCCTTAGTTTTCGATGCAGAGCTAGGGTATGTTAGGTAGCGAGATGATACAGAGCAGTGGAAATATGTTATTGGAGGCAGCTGATTAGGTATTGGCTTATGGTTCAATTACTTCCAAATTTCTATGTGCTATGTGTTTTGACTCGGAGCCTGAGGAGCCAGGAACTGTCACAGAGAGTCTTTAAAATCATACCTGGAGGATTTTTAGTAATAAGGCTTTTGTAAGTTAGATTTTTTTTAAAGAAAAAAAGTGAGTATTGCTGAATATTACTTAGTAATACTTTGTCCAGGACATGGACAAAGTCCTGTTCATGCTTTCAGTCTGCTAAGTATTTACTAGTATGCATCAAAGATGGTTGTGGGGTGAAGATTTAAGCATTAGTCCTATAAATGGTACTCTTTAAGCCATAGGAAAACTTACGGTCCTCTTGGTTTCAGTCCTGGTATTCCGAGGACTCATTTGTTTTTTAACAGTCTTTGTATGCAAAAGTTTTCTTCTGGCTTTGCCTTTTTGGTGGATCTTTTCTAGCTGCTCAGAAAAAATACAGCTTCAGTGAGAGGAGTAAAAGTTAGGGAATCCAGGTGGCTTTGGGGTTTTTATTTTAGGCACTAGCCATTAGCCTGCCTTTTCTTTGGAAAAGTGGTTCAAGATGGAGTAAAATTCTTGTCAGATTCAGAAGGCATAAAGTAACCCACTTACTGTTCTGTAAAAATACCGATGGCTGCACTACTGTTGCTAGTAAATTGAAGGGAAACTGCACCCTTGTCTTGCTTTGTTTTCTAAACAATACAATGCTAAGTATAGATTCCCATACAGACTTGGGTCTTGCGCAAATGGAAGTTGACATTAAAATCCTAAAGATTTTAAGACCTCCTTTTTGGGGTCTTAGAATTTCTTACTAAAACTGCTGAATTAAGTTCCCCTAATTTGACAGATATTCTAAATGTTGCCTGTTGCCCACCAGGTATTTGAAAACAAAGCAACCTGCTCAGGTTTTTGTGATTAAGATTGATTCTAGACATCAATTTGGTGGAAGGAACACCATTTCAATTAGCTTAAATTTGATTTAATAATAATAATAATAATAATAATAATATTGATAAAATTACTTTCTAGATTGCAGCTTTTTCTTTTTAAAGCTATTTTTACTTAGCTGTAAGTTCAAAATAAAAATTGTTTACTCTCACTTGGATGTTGAGGTGACTTTGTTTTTCCTGGTTGAAAAATACTCAACCACCTTATTGATCACTAGTACATAAAAAAAATATTCTCTTTACAGGTTGTAGTTGTTTTGGAAGCTTTTCCAAGGAAAGTCACTTAAGGGGCTGATGGTGTGGAAGAATGTTGGAAGACTCCATGTTAATGTTCAGAGTGTAGTAGTGAGGGGTTCTTAACTGCTGCTTGATTCTAGTTTCCATCGTGTTGCAGTTTAACTGTAGTTATTGCATGTGTATTGTAAATTTATTTTGATGGGATCAAGAGGAAGTTTCTGGAAGCTTTAAAGTACTTGAGATTACTGTCTGGGACAAGTCTGATTACTGGGTTTTGTGAAGTACAGATGTGTTGTGGCACTTGCAGCTTGAGAAAAATGAACAAATGCTAGTGTAATCATTCTTCTTTGTGGCCTGCTTGTTTTTTTCCTTTTGGTTGCCACTTTTTTTTAGCATGAGTGCATCAAATGGACAGGTTCATTGAATATTATTTCACTGAGAAGTATTTCTCAAGTACTAGTCCTAAGAAGTCTTTTTTGTGAAGAACTAGGATCAATCTAATAACTTCAGCATTGCTGAAGTCTCATGCTTTTTTTGTGTGTTAGGCCTGTTTTCTTTAACTCTGAAGCAGGTAATTGTGTTGATGCACTGGGCATCATGGGTCTGTGTGTGGGTCCTTTTATCCTGTGTCTGTTCCTATATCCTATGGCCCCTTACCCCCTGTCTCAGGTACTCAGTGTGGTAGCTTTGAGGAGTTTTTTAGGCATAATCGAAATACAGTCCAAGTTCACTCTGCCTTCTTGTTCTGCCTGAGAAGTGTCTTCTTCTGTGCAGATTGTCACAATCTTTATTCCAGGAAGGGGTTTTATAATGAATTTGTTTGGAGTATATGGGGTGCAAATATTTAAAGGTGTATGGTTTGTTTTTGAGAAGTGTTTCATACTTGAATAAAATGAGACTATTGAATTAGACTTCCTGAATCTTTAAAAGATAGGATTGTGCCTTCAATTATGGGTCATATTTCTGGATTTAGATGCCTTCATATGATGCAAACAAATCTTGAACACTCAAAGGTATCCTTAACACTTTAAAACTATTATTACTACACATAATCCTTCTATCTTGTGTACTTGGGGATACCAGTTTTGGTCATCATCTGTGTGGTTGTGCATACAGTTAGAATCATAGAATATCCTGAATTGGATATGCCAGTGCTTATCCAGTGCTGAATTGGCTTTTGCCATGCTTACATTAATTGTATACACTGATCAATACAGAACAACATTGTCTGTGCTTCTTTAAAACATAGTCAATGCATTTGTGCTGAGAATTTAAATGTCTCTTTAACAAATAAATGACCCAAATTTGGTGTAGATCTACCTGAATTTATTATTTCTGAGAGAGACTGCTTTTGTCTTTCAAATCACAGTTTAAAGCAGTCATTTTAGAGCCTTTAGATTACCAGTTGTGTAGTATATTTGCTTTAGGGTCTAAAGTATCACTTCAGCTTCAGGCTAGTCAATGTTGTAAGGGAGGTCTCCCCTCTTTTCTCAGAGAATGTTGTAGTAAATTTTTTTGCTTTTGCCTACTGCTGTTTTTTGTCATGAATTTATTCTTCCTTTAGTGGTTCAGATGGAGGATCCAGAGTCACTCATTTTGTCTCTTAGTTACACTAGTGAAGGCTCTGTTGTAATTTTTATGTTAAAGATAATGAATGGTGTTACTCATTAACTTAAATTTCTGTGCAATCCAATTTTCCTTAGATCTTGTCATAACTATTGGTCACCTAGCTGGCTTAAATGCAGTAGTTTGAAAATGAAATGAACTTGGAACAGTTGGGCTGTGGTGACCTGTTTTCTATGGTAAGCAGACAATAGGCTAGAAAATACTTTGGTAGAAAAAAGCTTAAAACATCTTTCATCTTCAGACTATTTCAGTGGCTTTTCTTAAGCTTAAATGGAATTTCAGTTAATTTTGAAGTAAGATCTGAAGCCTGGGATTGAGAAGTTTGGTTTTGAGTATCTGTGTTTATACTGTAAAGGTGTTTGTTCTCATTAGGTACAATGAAGCAAATCTTCCATATAATTGCATTAGTGATACGTGACATTAAAGCTTAATTGGCTTATTTTAAATATCTTGCACATCAATTTCCTTCAGATTGTGAAAATTGAAAAGGTCATGAGTGCAGTTTAATATTCCAGGGTGAGAGATTTCAATTTTAGTACAATTTGTAGAGATTTAATTAGGAAACATAACTAAAAGAAAAAGGATGTTGAATGCAAATCATGCTGTTCATTAGAGTATAGAAGCTGAAACGTCTTGAAGTATTGTGGAAATTTGATTGCAGATTCGGTAAGCACCTTGATTGATTTTTTTTATTTTTTAAAGTAGAAGTTATTGTGATTGTTTTTCAGGGTGTATACTTAATCTAATTGCCATAAGCACTCTAAGTATACTTCCTTTTTCATAGAGTTCTCTTCTAACCAGTATTCTTGTTTTGCAGGAGATTGATGAAGCCTGCAAGAGGATAAAACGTGAAATTGATGACTTAGGTCCTGAAGTTGGTGACATAAAAATCATTCCATTGTATTCCACCCTTCCTCCACAGCAACAGCAAAGAATATTTGAACCTCCCCCACCGAAAAAACAAAATGGAGCAATAGGAAGAAAGGTAAATACTAAGCTGTGTTGATATTCTGTTCTGTAAGTAGCTACTCATAGTTGCATGGGCCACAAAATATGGTTTTCAGCTCCTTTAAATATATTTAGACAGCAACAAGTACAAGGGTTTTTTTAATGAAAATTTAAAAATGCAGTATTTTATCACATTAGGATTTTTAGGTAACTTGAAATTTGTCTCTCAGTACAAGTCATCCATCTATGTAGGGCCAGGATGTTGTGGTAACAGTTTTGTTTGACTGAATAGAAATGCCATTCATTTAAGTTTCTTACTTAAAATACAATTTATGTGGAGATGGGATTTTTTCTGTAAGTAATTATTTTGAGATGTGCTTTTTCCCCTTTTTTGGAGACAATTTGGGCTGTCTCTTAGGGGTAGATGGCCAGACAGGTTTTATCTGTTTCTTAAGGTTTATGAGAAGGTGCAAATTAAAACAAGGATGTTGAAATTCAAGGTTTATATTTTTGAAGTAAAAAATGAGGAACTGAAATAAATTAGGCAGAATCGATTGAGAAACTGAAAAACTTGCAATGGCACAGTGAATGTTCTTCATAAAATTATTATGTCAGTGCTCTAATAATCCACAGTAGAAGCTATGTGTTTTTTTAGAAAGGAGTCATATTAAAGCTTCCTAACACTAAACTCCTGCTCTGCAGAACTGGCAGTCACAAACCTAAGATTTTGAAGGTCAAAGCTGAATCATACTGTGTGCTCTAGGCAGGGTTTGTTCCTTGATTATTTTTGGTTTTGTGCAGTACAATGCATGTATAATACTAGTGACAACTTCTAGTGTTCTGGAAGAATAAATCACTTATTAAATTTAGTAAAATTATCTTCCTTTTCCTGCAGAAGTTGATTGCAGAAAGCATTCAGTCTCAAATCATGAAACTAATGCTGCAACAAAATTGTATTTGCAAATGACTTAAATGAAATTGCTTTTAAGTAACAAGTGATAGCTATGTATTTAATTATATTTTCACTCATGTTTAAAACTATGCCCTTCAGAATAGGCAGGTTAAGAGGATAACAAGTGCAGAGTGTAGTTTTTGTTATGTTGAAATGATAGTCAGTACTAGTCCCTGAGAGGAAGACATTCTTGGTGTAGCAGCTGTTTTACTACAAGAAAAAGTTGTTATGCCCAAAAGATGCCTGCTATGGGGTAAAGCAGACATAGCATGTAGGCAGCAGACTTAGACCTATGAAGTTACTTGTCCTCTTTGGCTGAAATATTCTGGCGTCCATGTTTTCCTTTTTATCTCCATAAGAAATATAACTATGAGTGAAAGTGCATCTGTGTTGCAGTTTTTTAAAATGGGTTACTTTTAATTAGTCTTAGTGATCAAGGTATGTAAAGTAAAACTGCGGTGCTGTGCCTGCCTATTTAAGAAAATGTCTCTTTTCATCCAGTCCTTTGTGGGACTGGAACCTAGATTTTAGCACTGCTGAGGAGGGAGCTAGTAGGTGATCAGAATCCTTTCAAAGGCTCCAATGGTCATACAAGTGTAAGTGAAATGCTTGGAGTAACTGACTAAGTACTTCCTGAGCTTTAACTTTTTGGAATGAGATGCTGGAAGTAGTGTGGCGTTTTGCTAGTGATGGTAGCAGCTAGTAGTGATGCAGCTTGACAACTTAGCATTTTTTTGTCCTCTTGGAGCTAAGAAAGCAGCTATTATTTTGAAAAAGTTTAAGATTATCGACAAATACTCTGATTAAATAGTAAGAATGTTTTTTTTAATTGAGGAAGATGAAGATGACTTAATGTTTCTGTTGCCCTATGTTAAAGGCTCCTTGTCATCTTATCCCTTCTTTTCAAACTGCGTTCTAGTTTCTGTGTCAGCAATCTTAAGCATTGCTAGTTAATACATATGCAATACAGATATGTTTTTAGATGTAGATATTGTGTGTATTTTAATATTCAAAACAAAGTTTTAAAATTAATATCAGAAATGGCAAAACTATTGCTAAGGTTAATTATAGTTAATTTTATATAAGGTGCTGATTTCAATTGTTCAATGTTGAAGTAACTTTGTCTTTTGATTTAGATTTGAAAGATACTATAATTTCTTCAGCCTTTTTAAAGTTTCTTCTTTTTTTGTAGGCATTAATTGTCATTTTCTAAGCAATGTGACATTAACAAATGATATCTGTATGTGCAACAGAATCCACCATGTAAATAACTTTTTTCTTTCTACCTTGGGAAAGTTCTGTATAGCTTAAGTGAATTCAGGTACATGTTAAATTGTTGTACTGCTGTAGACTAAGCACACTAACTATATTGAGTTCCTGATATTGAAGTGTCCTAATAGAAATCAGTGGTTAAAAGCAGGATAAAAATCTTTTGTCTCTGCTCTGTAATTAGTATTTGAAGAATCTTGGTGTAGGTGGTTCTGTACGTTAGCAGAAACAGAAAAACACAAAACTTAAATGAGGTGTACTCTATAACAGTAAGCTAGGTGTGGATTGACTGGACTTCTAATGTGAGAGTATGAGTTTAATTTGTATATTTAATGCCTTTCCAATTTTTAATGAAGATGTATTGCACTGATATTTGTAGCTGTGATCTCTTGATTAAATTGTGCAGGTCATCTGTGAATGACGTGTACGGTATTTTCTGTTTGTTTGAGGAATTCTAAGTAGCACGTCATTTTAGGGTGAAACACTGTAATTCCAAAATAATTGTAAGTGCTTTTTCCAAAGTACTGCTTTCAATATATTGTAGGCTTTGGGCAAGCTTAGACTTTACGAAGAGACAAGCTGAGTGTGATAAGTAGCTGACTGGGAAAGTGATCAGCAAGCAGGAAGGGATATCAGCAGTCAGTGGCTTCACTGTAATTCTGAACTAAGTATTTAGGTTGTCTCTCCAGTTCTAATTGATAAACTGAAAAAAGTAATGACAGAGTGCTCTGAGATTAGAAAGTGGAGGGGTAAGTATTTCTGATGAAGTGCTAAACAGGTTTTGGATCTCTTCTGAGGTAATAATGTGTAATAACCTGATTCATTGTGGTCACTGTTGGGATGAGAGGTAATGGTATCCATTGCTTGTTTACACTGCATCTCTGGATATAAAAATTTAAATGGTGGCAAATCAAGCCTTGGAACTCTGATAGTTACCTTTGCTTTATTTTCTGCATAGGACTTAACCTTTTGAAAGGCTAAGAATGTAACATTAAAGATATGTAAAGGTGTTTGAATATCTGGTGATAGAAAAAGACAGTAGAAATTAAATATATATTGTTCACAATTTTAGCTGGAATTTGTTGGTAACAGCTTTATTTCAAGACAAATTTAAAAAATGCTGTGCTGGTAATGTATGTAACTTTAAATTTAATACTATTTAACCAGTTCACCATGTTCAGTCTTTCAGAAAAAGGTAAAAAGCTAGAATTAATACATGATGTTAAAGGGTTCCAGTACAGCTTGTCACTTTGTACCAGAGACGTGAGAAAAAAAATGGAGTAGTGGTTTCATAAGTTAAATTTTTGCTCTTTTTCTCAGTTAACATTTGTTATATAGTTAATAGATCCATGGAGAGAAAAAAAGGCAGATGAAAACTGCTTTCTTTGCACTAGAAGTTCCTCTGGTTGATTTCATATCATCCTGTGAAAGTGTTGGAGAGCATCTCTGGTAGTGATTGATTAAGTAATGGAAAGTTTACTGAAAATAATTTGAGCAGAGACAGAATTGGAGCCCTTCATCTTTTGGATGAAGTAGTTTCATTTAGTGTTTTGGGGTTTTGGGTTGTTTTGTTTTTTTGACAGGTTGTGGTGTCCACTAACATTGCTGAGACATCATTGACAATAGATGGCGTAGTGTTCGTGATTGATCCGGGCTTTGCAAAACAGAAGGTAGGTACTATTTTTTTCTCTTTATAGTAGGAAAGGTGATAGAATCTAATTTGCACAGGCTTCTCTTCCCTTTGCAAACACCTGACAGGTCTTTTTACAGTTGAAATTTTGAACTTGGTTTGGATTTGTTTTGTTTTTAACTTCGTATTTTTGCTGTTTGTGATTCGTCCACGAACTTTACATAGAATTATTTTTTTAAAAAAAAAGAAGTGAGAGAATTTGGTGTTTGACTTGGAATATAGCTCTTCTAGATATTTTAGGAAGGGCAGTTTTGTACTGTTGGTCTATGCTTGAGGATGCTCAAGTAAAACAAATTGTATGAAAGTAAATAAAAGTGGTTCTAGAAGCCTTCTCTTCCTTTAAGTCACTGTAGAAAACTCCAGCACTAAAATGAGAAGAAATTATCCCTGCTTTTTCATGTCAGTATTTATCATGTACTGTTGCAGCCCTGAAGATTGTAATCAAGCTCATATTATGGTTCTTGGAACATCATAGGGTGTTCAGAGGAACTGAAGTAGCTTTCTTAAGTCAACCCAGTAACTGCATAAAATTAAATATGAATGTCATTGGCTTCATTTGGTTTTCTTTCACTAAATGTAGCTTTCTTTATAACTTGATTTCTTAGTCTTTTCCTTTAATAGTGGTACACATTTTCAGCCTTTTTAACTTTCGCAAAATGAGGCAGACACACAGCAGAATGTGAGTACAGCCAGTGTGTTTCTATGCACAAATTTAAATCGCCATTAAGGATTAACCTTTTTCACAAATAGTTCTTTTCACACAAAGTATTCTTCCAGTATAAGAACTAAGGTTTCTGTACATATTTTATACTGAATCATACCAGAAAGATCTTAAAACATGGATGTAAAGTGTCTTCAGCTGCAACTACTGTTTGACTACTGCCTTCATTTTCAGTGTATTCTTTTCCATGATCCCTATAGAGCTGGCAGGGCTGCTGTCTAGATATGACTGCAGTGGAAGTTTTATAGTAAATACTAGCAGATATTTCGTACTGTGATAGTCTGCATCTATATCATATTTCAAGTACCCTTGAAATACAGTTTTGTCATCAGCCTGATCTTTACAGTTGTATGAAACCTTAACATTAGATTTTTCTGGTCTTGAATATGATTATTCAACCTCATAGTGATGCCTGGAACAGAGGCTGGACATGTTAAAGGAATAAAGTAGGTATTTCTTAAAAAGTCTTGAAAGGATACACCTTGGGCAGTATGAGAGCCTAGCCATGGCTGTACCAAGATAGATGTCTGGTCCTGAGTTTCCACACTTTTATAAGTTTTGGTCCATTTACATACTGGGGTTAATTGTCCAATTACAGCTTCAGGTTATGAAGTCCCATCCTCCCAAATTGCTTTCTTCGATTTGCCATTGTTTACACTTTTCAGGCCCAAAGCTGCAATGGTGTCCTTGGTTCTCAGGCTGGAAAATAATTGTTTTGTCTAACTAAACTGTGAAGAGAACATGATAACACTTTATATGAAGTTCAGAGTTGCACTCTAATGCAATACAGACTGAAAAATATGAAAGCTGAAACTTAAGGCATCAGTAGTTATATCACGACACCATTTTTATGGGATTTTTTTAAGCACCGTGAGTGTTTAGCACTCTGTAGAACAAATTGGACACATTCCATTTGCCATGAAAATCTTATCTAAAAATACATTTAAGAACAGGAAGCCTGGCAGGAGTTGCTGTTAAAAGATTAATAAAAAATGCTGTTCTCTAGGCAGTTGTATTTGAAACTCTCCAGTCTTTTATAGCCAGTTTGGTTTTTTTCCTTTTCAGATACATACAACTTGTGCAGAAGTTATGTTTAAAAATAAGTTTAAAGCAGTTTGAGTAGTTGTCCTGTCCATGAACATAGTTTATTCTTTTACCTTCTGTCCTGCTCTGCCTCCCCTCTGAAATAGGTGTACAATCCTCGTATCAGAGTGGAGTCTCTGTTGGTGACTGCAATCAGTAAAGCGTCTGCCCAGCAGCGAGCTGGCCGTGCTGGTCGTACTCGACCAGGCAAGTGCTTCAGGCTTTATACAGAGAAAGCATACAAAACTGAAATGCAGGTAAGATTTTGGGTTTTACATTGTGTTCATAAGAATTCTGATTCAGGTTGTCGAGTGCTGTGGTATTAAACAAAATGAGAATTTGAATACTTCTGTAGTATAAAGTGTCTGAAGAAGTGTTACAAATTTTCTTCTTTTTTTCCCCCCTCATCCCCCCAGGACAACACATACCCTGAAATTTTGAGGTCTAACTTAGGATCTGTAGTATTACAGCTCAAGAAGCTTGGTATAGATGATTTGGTGCACTTTGATTTTATGGATCCACCAGGTATCTCTTTCCATCTTTACAATCTTTATTTTTTATGGCTACTTTATATAATGACAACATGGAATAAACTCTCTCATTGTTTTTTTCTGGTTTTTTAGTTGTAATCTGTAAGGAATTGTCTTTGTTTATCCTGAAATTTAGTGCTCTGTGTCATATCCAAACAAGCTTTTTTCTGTGTAAGAGCTTTTAGTGGAACCAAGGAAGCTACCGAAAGCCCTTTTCTTCAGAGAATAAGAGAAAATTCTTGGCATTACAAAATCTGTTATTTGAGGTTTTCTATTTATCACGTTGATTGTACATTCTAATTGTGCAGTTAATAACTGTAAATAAAATGGGCTGGTGTTTTCAAAGCTGAATACATGGTTTGGTCCCAACTGTAGTTTTTATGCATCTTTCTTATAAGTGTCTAAATGTTCATATATGCTTCAGAAATAAGTGGGTGATACTGCTAATCAAAAACGTAAATCGGTCATATATACATAGGTGAATTAGTTGTTTATTCTCCTAAAATAAAAATCTGACCTGGTCTGTAAGTTTTTAAATAGTTCTACAGAACAGTTATGCTTTGTTCTGTGTAACATGTATAATAGCTTAACAGACTTTTGGATTTCATTTTATTTTTTCATTGTGGGTTAGTACTCACTTTGTGAAGAATGTAAGATAAAGAGAACATTCTTGCTGGCTTTCTGAAAGACTAGGTATCTAGAGTTGACATGGTTGAAGTTTTAGGACTATTGATTTATTTAGTATGGAACAAGGGAAAAAGTATCTGCAGGGAGAAGTGATATTACTGTACTGAATATTTCACAATGCCGCTGCTGTCTGAATTTTGAAAAGCAGTAATCTTCAAATATTCAAAGCTTGTGATTAAAGTTAAAGCTTTTCTAAGTAAGTGTTCCCTCCCTGCCACCCCCATTCATTCATACTTGGGTGTGTATTGCTCAATTTGGCAACAGTTTTGTATTTGGATGCTAGGGAATGGAGAACCAAAAAAAAAAAAAAAAAACCTAGTAACAGTCTGTGCTTCCTTGTTTTGTGCTGAGTCAGAGCCGTTCGGGTAATGTGCGAATTTACATATTTTTTTTCTTTCAGCTCCTGAAACTCTGATGAGAGCCTTAGAGCTTTTAAATTATCTGGCTGCTTTAAATGATGATGGAGACTTGACTGAGTTGGGATCCATGATGGCTGAATTTCCATTGGATCCACAGCTGGCTAAAATGGTCATTGCGAGCTGTGACTACAACTGTTCTAATGAGGTCCTATCTATTACTGCCATGTTGTCAGGTAATAGCAGGAAAAGAGAAACTAAAGTTGTAGCTCTTCAGTCTGGGGAAACTTTAATTTTCCTACATCAGAAAAATAACATAAATATATTTTTAATAAAATTAGATTTGCTTTTTAAAACTTTATAGATGGGTTCAGTTATTATGGATTTATCTAGAGATATTGAAGCTAGTGAGTAATAATGTTGAAAACTAGTGCATGAAATGATCTAAGTTTGCTCCTAACATCAGTTAAAAGTATATATATATTTGAACTGTTGGGGGTGGGGAATCATCTAGTAGAACAGAAATTTCCATTTAGCTTCATTGTCAGGCCCAGAAATATCATCTTGACCACTAATTTTTGAAGCAGTAAAATCTATTTTGTATTGTGCATTCTTCTGCACTTTGATAAATCAGTCTTCCCAAAGGGATTAGAGTATAATTTATATTAAATCATAAGCTTGTACATGATACATTTTTCAGTTACTAAATGGCAAAACTGGAGAACAGTCAGTATTTTCAAAGGGAAAAAAGAAGCTTGGAACGAAGCTGTATCTTTATAAGAATTGAGGTGTATAGTTGTAATTTGTTGTTACATGAATAGCTCTGTGTCAGAGCAGAGCTGCTTGCTGAGAGAGCTTAATGAGAGGAAAATATTACCAAGCAAACTGTGTACTTAATTTGCCCGTTGTGTAGAAATGACTTTGTTTTATAACTAGAGGTCATAGGACAAGCAGCAGGTTTTAATCTGTTAAGAAAATGGGGGTGCTCATACTCATAAGGACTCTTTGTCTTTGGGATGTGATAATTTACCAGACTCTCCACAGTGCAGGTGTATTGCTGACATGCTTGACTTGGTTGGATAGAGAAAAAAAAAGTTTTGATTAAGTGTCAAATCTGTTGCTTCAGTTTAGTTTTACAGTATATTTATATGAAAGTTTTAAGAACAAGTTAAAATGTTTGTTTCAGAGTTATGATTGTTCAGACTCAGAGCAGATGGGCAGGGCAGAATCATAATATTTTTCTTTAATTAAATGGTAGGCTTAATTGCGGAGGTGGTGGTAGGTTGGTGCCTGTCTTTTTCTTCTCTTCCCCCTTTTCCCCCCAAGTATCCACAAGTCAGTTTAGTATTTTTGCCCATGGCCTTCAATTGATTTGCCTTACTCTTTTTCCAGTTTACCTTTTCTGAGGCCGTGATACCTTCTTTGTTTTAAACCACAATTAACGTAATGAAAAATAAGTTTTGGGAGGAAAATATGAAATGGATTAAAGACGGTTAATTGATGGGTCATAACTATAACACTGCTCTTAAAAAACCCATAGTCCTGGTCTTTATGAGGGCTGTTTCCTGAAGTAAGCACTTTAAACCAGCAGCATAATAGTATGTTTTGGTGCGTTAAGTGCACATAAAGATTGTCAGGTTGTTGATAGCAATCCATGTATTAAGTTTGGACTGAATGAGAAATGAGGTGACAGAAAAGAGCAAAAATAGCATTAAATAAATGAGCAGATTAAATGATTGTACTACATCTTATAAGAGTCATGGTGCCATGCTGTGGTATGGAAAGTACTATTACTTTTTGAAACGCTGAGTTAAGACAGTGATAGAATTATCTGGATTTTGCTTTTAATAGCATGAGTTAGGAATTAAAATATACTTGATATTCTCTCTTTTTTTCAATTGCGGGCCCCTTTTTCCGGGTTTTTTTTTTCTTCCTTGCTTTTCGTTTTTTTTTATTGCTTTGTTTTTTTTGGTTTTTTTCCCTTGTTTCCTTTTTTGGTTTTGTTTTTTTCCCCCCTCAAGTTGCATCTGGTATTCAGCTCACTATATCTAGTGCTTTGGGGCTTCTGTGTAAATTTAAGACTAAAGAAAAACTACATGACACTGCACAAAGAACCCTAATTTGATAGGAATATGTCATATGCAGGGAGGTGTTCTCATGTGATTGTAGGGCTTCATTAGTGAGAAAACTAATGTAGTCCCAAGCAGCTGGAAAAAGATTAAGGATTTTTAGTATTTAATCATTAATTGTATTGCAATTCAGCCTCTTAAAAATTGTACTTCCTTAAACCCAAACTGATTTAATCCTGGTGTAGGTTTCTATCAAGTAAATCACAAAATGGGTAAGATTGGAAGGAATCACAGTGGGTGACCTGTTGCAACCTCCCTGCTCCAACAGAGATCTTATAACTATTTTCAAGATCTTGTGGATTGATACCAGTCTTAAAACATACTATTTATGGTCTTTGGTAGTTTTTGTCTGGATAAGAGATGGTAAAATACAATTTTTGGATGGAAGAGAGATGAGTTAGATGTATGTAAGAGAATATAATGATAGGGAAAGCTCGTGTTGCATTTTTTGATCTATATTTTTTTTATTTGAAGTAGTGCCAAAGGACGGTTTAACCTTCCACCACTACCGCTACCATCACAGCCTTTCGACTTATTAATACCTTCATTTACATGTTTCTGTATACCAGTGCTGATAGCAATACCATGTGGGAAGAGACTTGACTGGTGTGTTCTGTCTAGTAACAGACTTGTGGTAATCAAACCTCAAGTTGGTTTAGACTGTCCTAGTACACTACTTTCAGAAATATTTACTTTGTCTGTAGGGGCTTTCTGAAAAAACAGATTTGCAATTAAAGTGCTTAATTCCATGGGATACTAGCTCCTGGTAGAGCTATCAGCACTGGATTTGAACTAAGATTTGTTTAGCCTTCCAGTCTGTGTAGGTAACCCTGATGGCCTTCAGACTAGAGATTTTGATGCATACATATAATTCTATTTAATTAATCAGGTACTCTGTAGCTTTGAAACCCTCTTGTCTTACAGATGTGGTTAGGTGTTGATGTACCAAATCAAGGTAGTAAACAGTCCAAGATGCAGTTGGAGGCCATCCTGCCCTGCCCTATGCTCTGTGAACTGACCTAGCTAGGCCTTGTTCCTCTATCTGTGAATGCGTGACTCATCGATATGGGCGTTTGTGTTGGGCCCATACCAACCTTGTTTAGTCCCACAGTGTTTTGTTCGCCCCACGGAAGCAAAGAAAGCAGCAGATGAAGCCAAGATGAGGTTTGCCCACATAGATGGAGATCATTTGACGTTGCTGAATGTCTACCATGCTTTCAAGCAAAGTAAGTCTGTCTCTGTTTTAGTAAAATTATTTATGCTTTGTGCTGCCAGCTTCTGTTTCTGTGTTCCAAGGACAATTTAAGGGCTTGGGTTTTGTTATTTAAGTGCTACTTTCCTTTGGGGGTCAAACAAAACCAAAAAACTACCCAAGCAATCTTGTAATAAACTGATGAGCATGCAAACAAGCCAGGCTTTTAAATCAGTGCTGGGTAACCTTGGACAGAAGGAAGCAAGTGTTCCTGTAATTAAGAAATATTGTGAGTTTATCTAACATTAATTATAAAAAATAGGCATAATTGCTTAGTGATTTTTCAGGGAGACCAGTGCAGGAAAAACTGTGAATTTGGAGAAGGATATGTTCTTAGAACAAAAACCTTTTTAATCCTACTTTTTTAATGTAATTAGGAATTCTGTAATAAGCCTTTGGAATAGATTGAGAGGCAAAGGGATGATGCATCAGCAAGAAGTAACATAGAACTGTATGATACATATGTTTCAATTATGTCATTTCTGTGGATGGAATTTGGAGAAAGTATATGATCCTCTTCAACATAGCCAAAGTGTATTTTAGTAGTTTAAAGAAGATAGAATGAAGAGGTGAAGCTAGGAGTTCTCTTCAACAATGAGAAAGTGACCCACTTTTAAAAACTGACTTATATTGATAGCAAATAAAAATACTTATATATGTATATAAATAAAAACTACCAGCCATGTGAACTTAGGTGTTCCAGTTATACTTTCCTGTTAGCAAACAAAAAAACAAGCAGTCTTTTTACCCTGAGTAAAAAGAAATGCAGCTTTAATGTGCCTTTCTGTTACAGGTTTGATGTAGAAATTCTGTATTGAAACCTGTCATTATGTGACAACCCAAAAAAAGTGCAAAAGTCAGCAAATACACTGAGTTTACAATACAAACAATACAAGCTTTTTTTTTTCCTGTTAGCTTTTTCATTAATGGGATACAGAATGTCTGGCAGACAATTTGTGCATGTTTCTGGAAACCATTGCTGTAATACTCAGATTACTGAGAAATGGAGCTACTTCAGGAATAATCTTGTGAAATTGTGATTTGTCTTCTGGAATCAGAAGACAAAATGCTACTACTGGTAGTATATAGAACAGTATAAAACATTTAGGGTTATCCATGATGCATAGTTCAATTGGCTCAGAAAGTAGTATGCTATGGTACTGTACAGTAGAATCACAACTGTAAAACAGCTTCATTCATTCTTCATTTAAAATATATTCTGTAAGGTAAAATGCAAGAAAGAACTTGGACTTAACCTTGACTTCCATAACATTAATTCTTTCCAGTGCAAATTAAGAAGAGTCTCTTCTTTCCAAGAGTTACCTTAAGTTTTAATTCTTAAGGCTGGCTTTGTTGGATTATTAAACTGACAAAGATTAGAAGAGCCTTACTTGAAAAGTCAGAGAATTGCAAGGGAGAACTGGGTTTCTTTATGTGAAACATGCAGGTATTTCTACTGACAGAATGGCTGAGGCTTGCTGTTTCATCAGATTTCTCAGAGTTACGAGCAGTAGGAACCGTTAGAGTACATGGTTCTGTTACAGTGGGTGTATTTTACCAGTCTCATTTACTTAAACTGCTGTGAGTATGTCACACTTTGAGAACAGGCTGTATAGCTCTTAGCTGATACTTGAATACTTAATTAAAGTAGGGTTTAATTTCTCAAATACAGTGTAGTTACATATAGTTGTCTTGTATGTTTGTAGCATGCTGCAGTTAAAGGCTGTGCAGTGTTCTTGACATCATGTGATGTTTTACACTTCAAGTTTGGAGATGTTTTTTCTAGTTGCAGGATGGGATTTTTGAGATGTCCAAAATTTAGTGGTATGGTATTTCAGTAAAACAGCGCTGATTGTGTTTGTTATATTGATGAGGGGGGAAACCCCTGCTTTTCTTCTGTCCTATGTGCTTCCTGAATAGAAACGTTTTGGCAAGTTACCTAGTGCAGGAAATCGACTGAATAAACCAAGGGCTGTTACCATTTATAAAAGTTTATGGATATTTTTTTCTGGTTCCTCTGACTGATGAATCAGTCACTGTTTTATTTACTTGTTCTAATTTTGATTCATGTTTTCTAATGTTGCAGATCATGAGTCAGTTCAGTGGTGTTACGACAACTTCATTAACTACAGGTCCCTGATGTCTGCAGACAATGTACGCCAACAGCTGTCACGAATCATGGATAGATTTAATTTGCCTCGTAGAAGCACAGATTTTACCAGTCGAGACTATTACATCAACATAAGAAAGGCATTAGTTACTGGGTATTTCATGCAGGTATGTCTGTATTCTCCTAGGGAAATTAGTTCCATGTTTATGTGGCTCATAATGGTAGTATCATTGTTACAATTTACTAAAGCTTGATAAATGTTACTTAAATTGCATTTGCCTAACTATATTACCATGTAGTCTTTGTCAGGTTGCTAGATAATGGTGCAAGTAGTACATTCTTTAGTCAAATGGAAAAAATGTTGAAGGCAATCTTATAAGTGTATCAAAATCTCCTTTCTTGTATGAGCATTCATGAAGTAACTACATAAAACGTTTCAAAGTAACTGCAGAATATGTGGTTCGAAAATTATTTGTAATCTGATACCAAAAGGGGAAGTATAGTGGTATATAAATATGAAAAATGTTATATTTGCAGAAAGAGAGTATTTTCATTTTATGTTTTCCCCATATTTATATTTCACTTTTCAATTGCATGAGTCAGATACTGGAGTACTTCTGTAATCTCAAGATGTATACTGTTTGAAATGCATTTGCCACTTGAGCCAGGATGGCTATGGAAGCCAGTCTCCACTGCTGCCACCTGTATGCTTTGCATTTCAGGTTAAGCATGCCTCAAGCTAGAATGCAGACTGCTTGGGGTTTGTCTGTTTTTTTGTTTGGTTTTGTTTGGTTTTTGATATTTTTTCCCATTAGTCCCACTGTGTTTTTTCTCTTCAACATTCATCCTTAAGACTGCTAGAGTCTCTTTGCTGGCTTTTGCAGATACAAACTGTGAATCTTCATCCTTATTGATTCTGGACTGTTGTGATAATGCTTTTCACAGCAAGAAAGCATTTGACATGTCTCTGCAACATATCTGCTAGAGCCTAAAACCTCACTTCTGGAGAGCACAATCTTGTTATATTTAGGAGGCTGACCAGTGCCCATTGCATTTCCTAATTTTTCTCTTGGGCTGCACTCTTGTGGTGTTGAAACTTAACACTTATCAATTGGTCAGTGCATGGGCCTGACGAGCACTGCACTTACACACCCAAACTGGAACACGGACTTGAGCACCCAGTCCTTAAACCACCCCTGCCAAGTGTTGTCTCCAGGGCTCAGCCAGCCAGTCTGCAGCAAAAACATGTTCTTCTTGGGTTTTCAGAATACAGAAATAACAATGTCAGCAACTGCATTTCACTGTAATGCAAATGGGGGATTAAGGCTTTTGGCTGCTTTTAAATAATTAAATGGTTCTAAAGCCTTACTTGCTGTAATCTTTCAGAAAAGTAGGCTGTAACGGTGTTCAGTCCTTGAGTTTGGGACATGTTTTCTGCATATTTCTTGGCAAATGCTTCAGAATACATTTCTACTTAAACCTTTAATTCTGTAAATACTTTGAAAGACAAAGAACATTTCTGTCCAGCGTGCCATTTTGGGCGTCAGGGAGGTCTGAGTGCCACAGCTGTACTTCTGTTTGGTACTATACCTCGTGCCTTCTTTCATTTAATTGGACCTTTGGGGAGGCCATGTACTTGGAAGTTGGTGTGCTCTCTGATTGTTTTATGTTATTGGGAGTGAAACTCTTCCTCTAATTGGTGTTTTCCTGTTAGAAAACACTTATTCCCATACATGGGGAGCTGCACCAGTGTTGGTGCAAGTAGATTTTTGGTCTCTTGTGTTGTAGGAGTTAAAGATCTGACTTGATATTTTTGCTGTGAATACAGTAGTAAGTAGACTCATGCAGCTGAAAATTAAAGCCTGTCTGGAAGTCTCCTTGGGTTTCCATGGTCAGTAGGTTGTTTATTGCCTCCCTCACTCAAAATGGCTAATAGAATTTTTAGGGTGTATCAAGATAGGGCTATAGCATACCTGTAGCCATATCTTGAAAACTTTTTGAAGTGGAAGCCATTTCAGCCATTACTCCTCTGCTTCAAAGTGTTTCAGTCTATTTTAGTTTGAGTTTCTTCAACTCTTTAAACCTATTGTGGTACGTATTTGACTTTGACTCTGAAACTTTTATGATGAATTCCATGTTGCTTTAAGAAACCTTCACTAGAAAAGTTTTAAATACTCAGATGTTATTTGCCAGCAGCTGCAGTACTTACAGTTGTAGTCGGTATACACATTGCGCCCTCTCCAAGATAATATTCAGGCTGTAGCATTTGGGGGCTCTTGTTCAGAATACTTTAGTAATGAAATGCATACATCATCCTTTGTTCTCTTAGTACAGAACATGTGTGGAATTCCAACACTTGAGAAATGTGTGCATGTACTCTGGATATCTTCTGCATGTCAAGTACTGAGGTGTATGGACAACACATGGCAGAAGTTGATTCTTCAAACTTCCTAAATTTAAAAAGGCAGTGTGAAGTGGAAAAAAGTCATAGCCATTGTCTTTAAATACTTCTCATTTGCTGCATTGTTTAAACTTTAGTAATTGCCTACTGTCCTAAAACCAGTCATAAAAATTCACAGTAGAATTTTCTGTACTTAGCAAGATCTGTGGTTTAGGTCAGACAATATAGACTTGTACTGACTATTGTAATAGTACTAGTTATATAATCAGTACTGAGAAAACTGTCAACAGTTCTGTGTATAGTTAAACTTCTGGAAGGATAGGTATTGACAAGTTAAATGTCTTTTAAAATTTTTGTGCTGTGTCTCAGATTTCTTTTAATTCTTATAATGCAAAACTTATTTTAAAATAACTTTCTGTATCACACATCAGAATATGCAAAGGATATGTAAAATTCAGCAAGGTGATTTTTGTGAAAAGAGAAGTACTGATTTCTCAATGACTTAGTTCTGAACATATCCCGTCCTAGAAAGGGAAAGGAATTGGCATATTGTACAACTGTAATATATTTGTAATTTGGTTATGAATTTTCAGAACTAGGTATAGATTGTTTTTCCTACTTCTGTTAAGTAAGTATATGTTATAGGAGAATCTAAACAGGATAAATACTGTAGTTTAGTGTTAGGTTGGGATCAAAGTAATACACAAGAATAGGTAACCCCTTAATGGAGGCTTATCCCTGATACCCATTCAAAACTAAGCTTAGACTCTTTAAAGTTTTAATAATTGCTGAAGTAACTGTGGTTAAGACTAAGCAAAAAGTAGTTATACTACAGAAACTAAGCTAAGGAAATGAATTGGAAAAGGCAAGCAAATGACTTAAGGATGGGTCATCTTCCTCTTAGTGATTTTGGTTTTTATCGGTTGTCAAAAGCAACCTAGGGTTTTATTGTTGTATTTTCAATCTAGTATTGAAGAAAAAATGAGAACTGATAGTTGAAAATCTAAATCAGAATTTAAAGGTGGAAGCAGATCTTCTGTCCTCAAATCAAAGAATGGGTCAGGTTGGAAGGGACTACTGCTCAGAGAGTCATCCTAGAGAACATGGCATAGGATTGTGTTCAGACAGTTCTGGAATATTGCCTGTGAGGGAAACCACAAACGCTCTGGGCAGTTTCTTCCAGTGCTTTGTCACTGCACAGTAGAAATGTTCTTCCTCTTGTTCAAATGGAACTTCAATCCGTTTTTGTCTGTTGTTTCTTGTCCTGTTGCTTGGCACCACAGAAGAGAGCCTGGCTCCTTCCTCCTGCCACCCTCTCTTCAGATACTGATTAAGCACTGATGGGGTCCTTCTTCTTGAAGTTGAACAGGCCCAACTTCCTCAGTCTTTCCTTGTAACAGAGGTGCTCCAGTCCTTTCATCAGCTTTACTGCCCTTCGGTGGACCTGCTCCAGGAGCTCCATGTCTCTCTTGTGCTGAGGAGCCCATGTGTGAAGACTCCACATGGACCTCACTAGGGCTGAGTAGGGGGGCAGGATCACCTCTCATCCTGCAGGCAGTGTTCTTCCTAATGCACCCCAGGATACCATTGGCCCTCTTGACTAGAAAGGTATAGAGATGAAGCTTGGAATCCTTCTTGGGAGATGTGACTTAGTCAAATATAGGCTATATATATCATGGTCACTACAGAGGATAAACTTAAATGACCAATGTTGTACAGGAAGTTAGATGTCAGATGATTTGCCTTCTAATTAAAATCTCATTCCTGATGCTACTCAGTCATTGGTGCTTATTTCTTCTGTGGAATTATGTATGTTTCGAAGTCTTTACATAATCAGGCTTCTGCAATAATAGAATGGTAATAAAATAAACTTACGACACAAAGGTGGTCAGTGGTGCATTTAATAGTATTCATTTTGCTCTTTAAGAATGCAGAAGAGTGGTGTAAAACTTTTTAATAGATTCAGAAACACTTTTGTGTGTGCTCCAAGCAGAAATTTTGGAAATCTAGGCAACTGCCAAGATTCCTTTGGTGTGTGCTAGCATCAGTTTGTCAGAAAGAACAAAGACCAATCATTTCTCTGAACTGTGTGTCAAGACTATACATTGTGTCACAATGTATAGCCTTAAATCTAAAAGGGCCGCATCTTGTGATGCTATTCCTGCTTTTGACCTTTCCAGTGCATTTGGATTTAGTCTTGATGTTTGATTGAAGACCCCTGACTTCACCCTCTAGGTTCAATGACATGATAGCTAATAAATAAGCACAAGCATACTTAAAATTTCAGAGGAGGGTGTGTAATTCTTAAGAAAATTGTGGTGAGAACTTAAGTGAAATATTTTCCTCTTGTGGTATATGCCAGTGTTTCCATTTGGGTTTGTCATGTTCATAGAAATACTACAAATTGTCTCTAAATCACCAACCCTGTGGGCTTTCTGAGGCTGCAGAGTATGTTGCAGAGATGCTTTCTGTTGCTGCTTTGTGTTGCAGAGTTGCATGGGCTGGCTGGATGCTTGCCCATTCTTTTAGAGTCATGCTCAAATAGCCTAGTTCTTTGGTGATCTCAGAGTACAAGTATGTTCTGTAGTGTTTTGCTTGCCACCACTACTCATCCAAAAATGAACCCATTTCCTACACATACCCAGTATGATCCTGTGGTTTCTGTGGAAGCTCATGCTCTTTATACTCTGAAAAACACCACAGAATGGCTGAGGTGGAAGGACCCTCTGAGGGACGCCTGGTCCAATCACCCCTGTAGATACAGGCACTGGTAGTGCTTGCAAGCCAGCGTTTCAGAGGGGTAATATAAGCTGCCTCCCATTTTTCCTTGTTTGCACCCTTATGTCAACCTTGGTGCCTCCCTAAGCCCATTCTAAATTCTTTCAGCTCAGTGACCTGGCAGGCCACTTAGAAAGCGGAAGCAAGAATGGGCTCGGTCAGCTGTGTTGGAATAGTGCAGACCAGGAAGGAGCAAGAAAATGCAGCAGCTGGCAGATCACTGTGGCTTGCTCTGGAGCCATAGCTTCCCTGTGTATTTCCCCACAGCTGCCATCACTGACCCTGAAATTCTTTACCAAGATGTGTGCCAGCAAGCTCACTCTGTAGAAACATCTAAAGAGGACAAATACTGCAGGTCACTTTTACGTCAGGATTGAAGCCAGTCACAATAGTATGCAACCACCTAAAGGTGGCTTGTCCCTGATATCAGTGGTCTAAGGAAACATTTTCTTTGTAATTGGGGTTATTTTAATTCTTTTCCTTCTCTGGAAAATAAGACCTAATTAAGATACACATTTCTGTAACATTTATTTTTCTTTGAGTATGCTTTGGAATGATGCAAAGTCAATAAGAAATATAACTCTACCATTACAAATTACATGCAAAAGAAAATTATATTTGGGAAAAGTAGAGTATCAGACTTTACTGTTTTAATACATATGAGTGAGTCTGAGGTGCTAAAGGTAAACTGTACTGAATTTAATGGCACACTTTTCTACAATGAAACCTAAATAATGCATTGTTCTGTCTTTCTAGGAAGAAATAAAACAGGTAAAATAGATACTTTTGAATGCATGTGTACTTTTGATCTGAAAAATGAAATTGATTTTTAAACAAAACTTCCTTTGAAAAAAATCGTAATCCCACAGCAAGGTGTGCTGTGATTGTTCTAGGCCTGTAACACATGAGTGTCGTGTCTAGTCTGGTTTGCACCTGTACTGCTATTTAATGTTACAGATGTTATATTGAGTTGACTAAAATTAGGCCTAAATCATTACAGACAGTGTGCTGTTAATCTCCATTTAAAGGATCATCTTCCTGTTTCTTAGACTTGAAATTACCTGTTGCCTCTCAAATCTAGTGTGACAAAATTCTCAAACTATTGAAATACTTTGTTCTCCTCCTAAAACACATTCTGGATGTTAATGTCATAACATTTTAAAGAGAAGTACACTCAGAGTAAGGGATTTCTTAGTAAAGAGATAGTCTGGCTTGAAACTTCGGGTAGCTATTGCTTTAGAAGGCCTGGGGTTTTAATCTAATTGGTGAAATTTGCTCTTGACTAGGCAAAAAAAAAAGGTGAAATATACCTGGGAATTCAATAAAACATGGAAGTATACAGTCTATATTAAAGGAAAACAGCTAATTATCTTACTAGAAATGTCTTTTTGATGTCTTTCAGCCATTGCCCAACGTATTTAATGTTTTTACTCTGTGTGTGTATATATCTATAATGAGAGGAGGTTATTTTCAGCTACTGGTATTAAAGGGTTAATTTTAGTTACTTGTTCTGTTAGATTAGCTGCTCATACAGAGGATATCATTGGAAGGATAACTGTCTGTTTTACCAAATCTTAATGAGCTAGGTATCGGAGCATCTTGGCAAGGCAGGCATTATTCCCTTTCATAGAGCAAGAAGCTTAGTCAGAGGGAGGTTAATTGATTTTCACCAAGGTCACAGCACAAGTGTGTCGCTGAACCTACATTTTCCAGCTCTGAAGCTCAGGCTGTAGTGAGACCTCTCTCATAAAAGGATAATATTGTGGCTTACTGGCCCCATAGTGGCTACTGCAAATGAAATGCTTGAAGTAGATGTCTGTAGTAGACCACAGCTGTCTTTGTGTGATGTTGCAAACCTGTCCAGTATATATTCCCTTCCTTTGTGTTTGCATTGCTGCTGTTCTAGTAATGATTATTCGTTTTGGATGATAATTATTTTTATATGTTAACTGAATTGTGCATTAGCATATACACATACCATGGTAGTTAGCAAAAACAGCTGGCATCTTGATTGTGTCTATAAAAAACTATGAATACTTGAAGTGGTCAAGTAATGTGTCAAATTTAGATGAGTTTTGAAAGTTGGGTTAGTTTGTTTTGTATAGAACACTTAACAATCAGCTTGAAATTGCTTCATTTAAAAATTGCCTGTGTTAATGGAAAAATGTCTTTTTATTTAGGTGGCACATTTGGAGCGAACAGGGCATTACTTAACAGTGAAAGATAACCAGGTGGTGCAGTTGCATCCCTCCACTGTTCTTGATCACAAACCAGAATGGGTGCTGTATAATGAGTTTGTCCTTACAACGAAGAATTACATCCGGACATGTACAGACATCAAGCCAGAATGGTAAGCCAGAGTATTACAGCAGTCATGATCTGCTGTAGAGGTTTTTTTGTTGTTGGTTTTTTTTTTTGTTTGTTTGTTTGTTTTTTGGTTTGTTTTTTTTTTTCCCTTAAGTTGGGGTAATTCTTCACTTTTCCGGAAGGTAGTTTAAAAAAAATTGGTTTGAGGAATGTCAGTGGTATGGACTTGAGGTCTTGTAAATGACTAAAGCTTTTCTTTGTGGGTACTTGTGCCTTTTCATGGGTTTTGTGTTTAGACCTCTGATGCCTGGACTTTGTGTACAGTGCACAGTTTGACTTAGAACTAGTTGCTTCAGTAAGCCTGGAGCTGCTTAGAGTTGTGAGGTTTGGGGGTATGTCCTAGCACCCACTGGCATACCTGAGTTAGTAGATACCAGTACCTCAGTATCAGTGCTTCTGTTCTCAAGATCTAGGACTTGTTTTGTCTGATTTTTTTCAGAAGGCTCTGAACAGCATTTTATGTTTCTTAAAATTTTAAGGAAAGACATGATGATAGTGGTACAACTTCCCATGTTTTGATACTTATTCATCAACTAAATATATTAGGGAAATCAGAAGCCTGAATCTCTGCAGACAAGCAAAGATCTGAAAACACAACATATATATTTATATTGTCTGTAGTATCTCAGTGGAAAATGTGTTTGAATCCCTGCTTAGAAATCTTGGTTCAACAAACACTGTCTAACCTAAAACAGGATCCTGTGGCCTTGGTTGTATTTTTAAGTTTAAAATGGCTAAGGCTGGACTATACTCTGACACAAGTGGTTGTTTGTGTTTGTGTAGACTTCTGTGGCTGATGGACTCTGACATTAAGCAGGGGCTCTGGCTGTGTGGGTTGCCATGGCAGGTACTGAAGCAGCACCAAGAGTCTGTAAGGGGCATGTATATCTTGAGACTCATGTGTGCTTTTTGCTTTGAACTTGGACACTTGCTCAGGATGGCACTGCCATTTTAAATGTGTGTGCATGTGTGTAAATTTCAGTTAGTCTTAGAATTGCAGAATGAGCTGAAAATAATGGATAACTTTTGTTTCCTTCAGTTGTAGAATTCCTGTAAAACACATCTTAAAGTTTGAGTATCAGTAACATGCTTTTCCTTTTTTGACAGGCTGGTGAAAATTGCCCCTCAATATTATGACATGAGCAATTTTCCACAGTGTGAAGCAAAGAGACAGTTGGATCGCATCATTGCCAAACTTCAGTCCAAGGAATACTCACAGTACTGAATTTATGCTTTGAACTGAAGTTATTCAGAGGACAGCTTTAAGAGATGAAAGGATTCAAAATTCAAGTTGTGCTCTTCACTTTGGTTCAATAATGGCCTTTATTTGAAAGCTTTTTAATTTTTCTTTACAGTAAATATTCCATTCTGATTTCATAAATTAAACATTTATGCCTCCCTTTTGTGTTGACACTGTAGCTCATACTGGAAAAGCTAATCAATGTTTTGCAGTTTATTGAAAGTAGTTCTATATATAACAATGTTATAAGCATTTCTTTAGAAATGGTTGAAAATGCTTCTAAATATGTGATTATCGACCATGGTATGCATGATCGTTGTAATTGTTGACATTCCTTTTAGAAGTTGTGAAATGTTACAACTTGTGCTTCTGTAGACACAATCTTCGGCTTCAGTACAAGGGTACTGACTTCAATAAAGTCTATTTATACTAATTTTGTGCCACAGTATGTCAGTATTTCTATTGTTTTGATTGTAATATGAGAATCCCATTTAGTCTCCCATTAAACTGCCATTTGACATGGCAGTAGTTTAATTTTTAATACTAAAGGTACAGATGTTTAAGCAGCACAGTGATGGTATAATATGATGCATACAATGTCAATCCCTTGCAAACTTGTTAAAATTATTTAGGAAAGCTCAAAATGCATGCAGATGTGTTAGGAGAATGCTTTCTTCCAACATAGCCCTAAATATTTCTCAGACAGAACTGTAGTAGCGTGTCCTATAAAGTGAAGTGTGTGTGGCCAGGTAGAAATTGCTCTGCTGGGCAGTGTTCAGGTACTGTTTAGGATCAACACAAACAATAGTGTAAGTGACACTGTAGATCAAATCACACTGCACTGTTGTAATTTTGTAGTGATTTTTTTGGAAATATGATTTGACAGCATAATTCCATGAGGAATTTATAGTAAAATTTGATCACAGGGCTGGAGCACCTCTTTTAGGAGGACCGGTGGAGAAAGTTGGTACTGTTCAGCCTAGAGAAAAGAATGAGGGGACCTTATTGTGGCCTTAAAATACCTCCAGAGGTTTTAGAAGAATGAGGATTTTTAATAAGGCCTGTGGTAAAAACTTTTTACCAGTGATAGGACAAGGGCAAGGTTTTAACTCTGGTAGAGGGTGGATTAAGATCAGACATAAGGAAGAAATTTGTTACTGAGGTGGTGAGGCACTGCAACAGATTGTCCAGGGAAGTTGTGGGTGCTCAGTGTTCCAGGTCAAGTGGGATGGGGCTTTGAGCAACCTGGTCTAGTGGAAGGTGTCCTTGTCCATGGCAGGAGGGTTGGAACTAGATGATCTTTAAGGTCTGGTTTAACCCAAGCTATTCTATGGTTTAATGTATTTGATCAGTTTTCTGTTTTTCCCTCTCCCTGGAATACGCTGAGCTTTGGTCCTTCTGGCAAAGAGCAGCTGGATCAGCTCTTGCTGAAACTGGTTCCCTTAGGAAGAGAGCTGTGCCACTGTAAGGCTGAAGGAAAAATAGGTTACGTTTGCAGAGCGATAACCTCAGACTGATTTTAAGCACTGATGTTTGGGGTGTCCTGTCCCATTTAAATCAGCAGTGGGCTATACAATTACTTGGAATACTTGGAGGATTTTCATCCAGTTCCAACTTTTTTTTTAAGGTGCCATTTATATGATGGGGAGTAGAGAAGCTTTGAACACTTCATTAGGACCTAAAATAGTGAAGATAAAATGTCAGAAGATTAAAATGTGAGTGGATTTCTATTATGCAGTGGGACTTGGGAGTTTGCCTTGGGTTTACTAAGTGAGAGGGAGTGTTAGATGATTCTGGACTTCGTTACCCTACCAAACCATTATCGTAGGAAGGAAAGAGCTTCACTCTGCATAAAATGTCAAACTAGATTGTATTTTCGGACTGCAGTTAGAAGAGGTTTTATATAAAACAGGGATTCTGAACTTCTTAAGCAGCTAGATTTCATACTAGCATTCCTGAATATGCAAATGTTGGTTTTGCAAATTGCTGCTGTAGGTTGACGTGGGCTGGATATCTGGGGTTTCCTGATGGCTTGCTTATCCTCTGTGTGGTGAGCAGAGGGGGCTGCTTTGTGCAATGCTGAAAACTGGCTGCTCCCCAGGTAAGAATTGCTTTAGTATTTGTGTGCAGCCTTCAGCTGAACGGTGTAGAACCACCTTCTGCATGACTTTGCCTAGGTCTGGCAAGGGCCACAGACAGTTCTCTGCTTGAAACGCCTCGGGGACCCCAGAACCAGCTGGCATCAGCTGCTGTAGTATAGGTCCTTGGGGATGGGGGAGCAGATGGCTATGGCTCTGAGTGGAACTTGACACAGGAAAGACTTTGGCTTGTTTTTGGTGGTTTTCTTTTTCCTTGAATTGTCATGCCCACAAGCTCAGCTTGGGCTATGACAGCTGACCTGGGCTCTTTCACTGTGCTCTGCTTTGCTACTAGGAATGCAAATACTACTGGCCAAACTCACGTCCTCTGACAGCTGTGCAACCCTGCCACCTTCCAATTAAGTTGGTGACACCTGGGCTTAATTGGAAGGCTGGTGGTGTCCCAGCTGTCACTGGGGACAGAGCAGGCCAGGTGCCCCCACCCCTCCTGCAAGCAATAGGAAACAGCTTTCCTGCTGGGATGCTGATGGAATCTGGGGGATAGTGCTTCAGGAAGACATGGAAGCCTTGACACCTGGGGAACCTATTGCTTTTGATACTTGCATGACATTTGTGTATTCCTGAAAAACATGCCCCTTTATTGAAGAGCTAACAAAGCACTTGTGATAAGACTTGAGTTTAGGACTGAAGCATTTTATTACAGGAGACTGTGTGTGCTCGTGCTGTGTATGGAGTCTTTTGCTAAGAATTGAGTAATGGAGAATGGCCCTGGGGTTGGAGTGGCTTTGTGCAGTCTATTCTCTGCCCAGTACTGATCTCTACTGAGGCCATTCAGGTGTTCAGGGCAGAAACACAGACTCACTTAAATCACTGTGGATACCTTAGAGTTACTGCAAATCTTGCTTTGGATGTAATTTTAGAGCCATATAGCAGTGGGAGAGGAGCCAGGTGTATAAGGAGTCACTATCTATCTCTGAAGGAGTAATGACAGGGACAGCAGGACTTCTTGAAGCAAGATGTTTCCTGGCTCCTACAGGGAAATTATTAGGAGCCACCTCCTTAGCTACTGCTGTCTCAGGGGTATAGCATATGCATGCAGAGGAACTTAGGTTTGAAAATAATTGTGGGTTTTTTTGAAGTTCAGTGTTTAAAGATAAAACCTTGTTCCTTTTTTTCTGATGGGAAAAATGTCAAAAAAGGTTGCTCAGAGAAACAAAAGGAGATCAAGAAAGAGGCCTAGAAATTAGATTGCTTTATTTATGAGCGTATGCCTTCCTCTTAAACATGTTAAAAATACTCAGAATCTGCCCATTGTCAGAGCTCTGGCTGCTTACACTTACATACTTACGCAGAAGAGTCAGTAAATAAGGGGAAAAGTTGGAAATCAAAAGTTTGCTGGTGTCAGATAGAAATTCAGCTTCTGTTTTGTTCTGTGAAAAGCCACAATTGACTACACGGCACTGGGGCTCTTTCTGCTGGTCTGTGGAGCACAGGTTCCCAAATAAACTACAGAGCTGCCCCCAGCAGCTGCAACATTTGTTGTTCTGCCGTGTTCCCTGCCTTACTGACACCACTTTAGTGTTCAAACTGCTAGTCAAGGGTGTCCGTGTGTTCTGGAGTAGACATGAACTGCTCCTTAGGATTAACTGGTCATCTGCTTTGGAACAATCTGAAAGGAAAAGTGATGTGTTCTTTACTTAGAGTGATCTTTTAATCAGACATTCTGATGTTTTTTGAAAATATTTGGTTTGTATATAATAAACTGTTTATAGTGTGGGACTATTGGAAATAGAGAATATGGGTTAGATGACAGGAAAACAGTACTAAGTGAAAGGAGTATATTTTTTGAAAAGAGGAAGTCTTCAGTCTTAACTGTGCTGCTGTGTAATACCTCAGAGCAGTAAAGGGCTAGTATCAGTGTGTTGAGGTAATTACTGTATTTAGGTTTGTTAGACACAGAGGTAGTTACTAATGGCTAAGTACATGTGGTTAGGTACCTGTCTTCATTATGGAGATACAAAGAAGTGATCAGTTAATACTGTGTTTAGATTAGGATTTAGAATTTTTGTCAGGGAATAGAATAAATGGTGACTCCATGCTTTGTCATCTTCTGATGTCATAAAAGCCCCTGAACTCTTGCTTTTGGGAGATCTGTAGGTCCTGCAGTGCTAAAGACAGATGCTGAGGTTCCGCTGGGGTTTATGGGAATGCCTTCATTCTTTGTACCTCTGTCCATTCACGGAAGGTGGACAGCAGCTGGCTTTGGCCAGCCTGGGTTGGTATGTTCTGTATCACTTTGGTCAGTTTTGTCTGATCACCACCTCCCTTTTTGGGTCAGGGCTTGGGACGCAGCATTGGTTTGTGACATGTAACTTGCAGCCTGCGCTGCTACGTGGTGCATACTGAAAACTGCTCATTATTTGCCATAAGAAATGCAGTTTAAAGCAAAAATGCTGACATTAGCTTTCACTATTGTTGTGGTTTCATTTGAAAATATACTGTAGCAGAAGTCAAAAGGCAAAGAGTTTTCCTACCATACAGTCCAGCTACAATTATTAATTTGCAATCAGATTGCTCTAGTTTATTGCTGATAATGTATAGCAATAAAAAGCCATAGCACACCATGACAGTAGAAAGCAGAGAGTTATACTATAAAGTACACAAATTTATTCACTTACTGTAGTTCATGAAGATTAGACATTTATCTTGGTTTTAGATCAGCTGAGGGTTTTAATAATAAACATATTTTACTATTAGAAGTATAATCTTACTCTGGTAGCTTGTTGACCTTTCAAAATTATTTAACTTACTCTGGTAGTTTATTGACCTAAATTTATTTAATCTTATGACTGTGTATGTGACATTAGATTTATGTGAAGCAGAGGGAAAAATTACCTAGTTGGTCAGCCTAGTTCATTTTTCTACTAGTACTTCTGACATTGGCAGCTTTGTTTTGGAGTATGTGTGTTTCCTCGAACTGTTCCTAGATTTGGGCATTGGTTCCCAGTAATACAAATGTTTCATATTTTTAAGCTTCAAACAGGCAGCTTTAAAACCAGAATGAAACCATTGTGAGAGCATTTGCCCCTCTCTTCTCTTTTCCTTTCACAAATGACAAGCTTTGGCTGCCTCTTAATTGGCACTGATGTGTTCGAGATAAGTGGTTGGCATCAAGAAGATCCAAGCTTCCACTATCAAGGGATTAAACTAAATATGGTAACAGCAGTAAAATAACATTCCTGTAGATAACAAGACTAGTTCTGCTGATTGTAGGTGTTTGATCTTGCAGTTTCAACTCGAATATAGTGGTTTCTCAGGAACACTGAATGTATGTTGGACAGATGATAAA